GTAGATTGCCATCCTTAAAACGCAATGAACTATCAGTGAATCTGATGGAGAAACTTCGTGTTTTTATGCCATTGATCGCTGGGCATGTGCGATGCATAACGTTAGATCACCTATTTACCATGTGAAAAGCTCTGGGGGCGAAAAAAACTGTACCTCTCCTTGGTTTCAAACGAATTACATAAACTGGAAATATTTCTTTTTTTAATAAATTACTTCATTTAAAAGAAGAGAATACAAGCTTTTAAAAGACACATGTCTCGTATCTCTGTGACAAGTATTGACTTAGTTACAGTTCATTTTTCGTACGCGTTTCAGAATGGACTTCACTGACAGAGAGAATGCAGAACTCGCATCATGTTTGTTTTTCTTTATATGGCGAAAAGCACAACACTTTGTTTTTATTGTGAGTATCCACAAAAAAAATAGACACTTAATAGGATCGATTGATGTATAACACTTATATGTACGATCAAAATCAACAGTATTTTGAGTCTCTTTTGCACTGATAAGAAAAAAAGCGAACAGATCACGCCGGCGTGATTGCCGACCCCAGAGGGTTAAAGTGGGGAACTTTTCTGAAACCTCTTCGATGGGTTCGAAGGGAGCCAAAGCCAGACCCTCAAGTACAATGGCCAAATCACAAGCCGGTGCTCTAGAGTGCATTGCAGGTCTCAACCTCAATGTACCACTGAGAAAACGCATAATCAGAGAATCTCTCCCAAGAGAAGTGCCCCTCAGAGGGGTGTGGTAGGCCGATATAGCCGCCACTTATACCTTTAAGGTAGAAGGGGATAATCCAGCAGAGAAACGGTCTTGCAAGAAATCAAGAACTGTACCAACAGGGCAGATAACAGGATCTAGGTGACGTTCACCACACCAGGTGGAGAATAATTTCCATTTCAATGCATATAGTTTTCTTGTGGAAGGTGCTCTGTATTGGAGAATAGTCTCAATGACCTCAGTCGAGAGACCGGATTCTATGAGCCGGGCCCCCTCAGAGGCCAGGCCCACAGTTTCCACAACTCCAGATGAGGGTGAAATATCGTGCCCCCTGCTTGGGACAGTAGGTCCCTCCTGACCGGAATCTCCAGGGGAGAGCCGTCTAGAAGGGACACTAAGTCCTAGAACCAAACTCGGGTCGGCCATTAAGGGGCTACTAGTAGCAGACGGGCCCCTTCCCGGGCGAACCCTCTCCAGAACCCCCGGAAGCATGGATATCGGGGAGAAAGCGTACAGGTGCGGCCTCGGCCACACCTGCACCATTGCATCCAGTCCGAGAGGAGCTGGGTGCGTAAGGGAGAACCACATGGGACAATGGGTTGAATCTGATGATGCGAAAAGGTCGACTTGAGCTTGACCAAACTTCTCCCAAAGGAGCTCCACCACCTCGGAGTGAAGTCTCCACTCCCCGGGATATATATATATATTGAGCTTGACAGACAACAATAAATATGACAAGGACAGATATACAGAGAGCGCTTCCTGATGGCACAGAAGCTGTCGCGGTCTGATTTCAGGGGTGCTTTATAGTTTCCTGGTCTATGACGTCACCTATGACGTCCCGTCTTTCCATTGGACTGATTTTACACGTGCTTCACGATGCAACCACCGCGTCTCAACGCAGCTCGAGTTCCCTTGAAAGGGAACCAGTCAGTTGAGTATGTGGCAAAACCTTTTACAGTGCTTGTATACTGTTGTCTTTCAATGCATTTGATAATTCATACTCATATATTAGAACTGAAATGACATTCATTACAAGATTATTAGTTAAAACATTTCAAAATGCACCTGCAGACTATTTTTCCAATCATGAATTGTGTCATTGAGGATTTCTATAAAATATTGTTCAATAATCTCGTCTCGTTCTCGTGAACCCAATTTCATGTATCGTTTTTCTCATGAGATAAGTGTCTCATCACACCCCTACTCAGTTCATCAGCATAAAAGCATTATTTGCAATTCCCCACAATGCGGTACCCATAGTTTTCACGGGTTGCATCCGTTGCTGGAGCGGCTGAGAAGTGTGCGCTATCATTGCACAGTACGAGAGCTCTGAGAAGGGACTGATGTCATTATACAGAGCGAGAGCGGCCTCTAAAGGTAAAATAAAAACTATCACTGGCGACTCGAATTGTTTATTTTAACACGTGAGACTGCGTGCTGCACGGAGAGCGCTGACACTACGCACATTTAAAACACCGACATCGAAACGGTATGAATACAGAACACTGAAGTACATATTGCCATATCATTATAAAGTAATTTGTTGATTAGATGCTGCATTAGAAGAGTAAGAACAGCAGTATGTTTGCCATTGTGGTGGAGAGGACTAACATTAGTAGTACCTCAAATGGTTAAAACAATGTGACAAAAACAAGCAAACCTTACCCAAATGTTTAATGTTGCAATTGTTACCATCTACCGAAATTTGCGTATGTTTGTAGTTTATAGCTAAAGAAGCACACATTTGACCTATAATGTTTTAAAGTTTAAATAAAGTTCTGTATAACTTCTCATTTTATTATATTATATTCATATTTAGATATTTATTAATTTAGCACATTTCAGTTGCGCACTGTTTTACTTGCAATGTTATGTTTGTTTTTTATCCAGTATCCATTTTAAAAAATATTGGTTGATTAATCGTTTATCAGCCAGTATGGTCAAACCTAGTTATTGGTATCAGTAAAATCCACTATCGGTCGACCTCTAATATGTAACAAATGGGCGCAGCCAACGGACGGGCCTGACGGGCATAGGCCCGCCTACTATGATGAATAGGCCCCCCAGTTACAAATATATTTATTAAAGTATTTTGTTTAATTGATTTTAATATAATTACAAACATTAACATCTCAAATCCTAAAATAAATCAAATCTCTCTTTTTTTGTATAATGCTTGATTGATTGACATCTGTGTTAGGCAACTGGGTGTTTTCCAGGCTCAGGCATTTCGAGCCTGTGAGTTTGTGTGCATTCACCCATTCAGTTCTAATTTGCAGTTGTGTTAGAAAAACATACTTGGGACACTAGTGAGCATACAATGAAATGAGGTGTTGGTCAATTAAATGGGGTCTAAGCTGGGTAAATATAAATACAGCGGCCCTGCGAACACATCTACGCAAGCCTCTACTGCATCTGGCGACTTGCCTCCCATTTCGCAGCTAAGGCGACGGACACGGAGGATTTGAAAGCAGATATTCTAGCTTCTCTGAGAGAGGATATCTCAGTCGTTATCAGGGCGGAACTTCAAAATGTTCTTTCTGAAGACATAAAATAAGTCAAATCGGAAATTGCTAAATTGCGACTATCCGTTCTGAAATGGATAACATGATGGCCGCTATCAGTGATGTGGAGGAAGGATTATCAACATGGTCGGACGTGATCACTTCATTGCAGTCGACAGTTGCAGAACTTAAAACAGAGCTGGCTAACATGAAGGTAAAAAAATGACGATTTGGAAGGAAGGATGCGGAGATGTAAAGTACGCATTGCGGGGATTCCAGAGGAGACTGGTTTGAGCTCAACTGTTGCTGTCTCTAAGCTGCTGTTAGAAGCTAGAAGTTTTTAACCTAGAGAAAGACATCCTTATCGACCGTTCACACACAGGCCTAATACCTAAAAAGCATAACGGAAAGCCCCGGGTGATTGTTTTTTTTACTCCACTATTACCAGGACTGCGCTGAAGTTCTCAGCCGAGGCCGAGAACAAGGTTCACTTCAATATAAAGGTGAGCCAATAGCCATCTTTCCAGACTACACCTTGAATGTGGCCAGAGCATGTGCCACTTTCAACGATGTCAGGAATTAGAGGTCGACGTGATCATACGGGTTAAAATGGATCATAAGAATGCTGCCATATGAACAGGGCAGGCCCTCACTTTAGACAATAATTTATTGTCTAAGAAAAAGTAATCAATACAAGAGTAATTGTGGTGGACATGAGAGAAAAATGAGTATTGCATGCCGGAAGTCTCCATGGTATGTACATTTATACAGCTTTCAGGACTGCTTAAAGTTACTGACACAAGCGCTAAAAAAGAATGAATGGATTAATAAGAAAATCACGAGCTTGACATGTTTGATATTAAAAGGAAATAAGCCCCGCAAGAGGCCGACGCCAACTGCAATATAACGGCACTGTGGTCCACATACCAACTGTTTTCCTCAGGCGCATTTTTTTTTTTTGGAAGTAGGACTTGTTCAGCCAACAGTATAATAAGTGAAGTGAAAGTGAAGACCTTAAGCTATGATTAGTACAATGCATATTTTTGCATCGGGGGATATTACATTTACATTTATTCATTTAGCTGACGCTTTTATCCAAAGCGACTTACAATTGCTATATTTCAGAGGTCGCACGCCTCTGGAGCAATTAGGGGTTAAGTGTCTTGCTCAGGGACACATTGGTGTCTCACAGTGGATTCGAACCCGGGTGTCTCACACCAAAGGCATGTGTCTTATCCACTGCGCCATCACCATCCCAATATTTTTCAATAAAAAATGTTTACAGTGTAGGCTACTTCATTCTCTGTTTTAAGGAAATTTGTATTTTAAAGACAATAGCAGATGCACAATGTGAAAATAATGACAAATCAAAAACTATTGTGATATAGAAACAGAGTGATGTCTATTACCTTATTTCCTTATATGTGGCGAATACATTTTCAAGCTGTCAAATAAACAAAATAGCAAACTTGTTGCTGAGAAAATGTCTATATGTATCTTGCAACAGTGGTTTAAGTTAGTATGTACATTAACATTAACATGAGTGGCATGATTAATCATGAGTCATAGCCGGTGTGTATCTGAAAAGGTTACATGGCTTGACATGGCAATTCTGCAACTCTATTAGTTTTCAGTTACTTGGACTTTGAGATGACTGGAATGATCAGGCGGGCCATTTGCATTCTATGGGCCGTATGGTTTGCACCCTTGGTGTATTGTATATTTTATATCTCTAAAAAGGAAGCATAATAACATGAACACTTGTTGTTGTAGGTTATCTGGCTGTATGGTGACAGAGGAAGGTTGTGCTGCTCTGGCATCAGCTCTGAGTTCAAGCCCTTCACACCTGAGAGAGCTGGACCTGATCTACAATCACTCAGGACCCGGGACTCTGGACAAACTCAAGTATGTTGAGCAGGACCTATCATTCTGTCTCCTGTGTGTGAGAGAGAATTTGTCATTGGAGTTGTGGTTGTCAAAAGATGCTTCTTTAGTTCTCAGAAAAAAAAGATTTATTAGAGACAACTTAATTTTTTTTTTTTATATGAAAGTAAAATGTTGTGCTTCACTGTGGGTCTATGAGAGGATTATGAATGTTATTTACATTGAAAAAAAGAAATAACAACAACGGCCTGAATCTGAATGTTCTTTCGATATTGAGCTTTAAATTATATATTTTGTGTCCCGTATGGGAGCTCACCTTCTCTATGATGATTGGATGAGCTTTCAGATTAACAGGAATTTACAACAAACAGAAATTTATTGTAAAGTAATGTACATGACTTACAGTGTTTTCATATCACAGCTGAGCTAAAATTTACAAGTGTACAAGAAGAGAATATGATGTGACATAAACAAGACAGTGTCTATCTACTTATGTATGAAATGGACAAGCAGTACAACTCGTTAACAGGTTATCGTTTACACGTGAACGATTAGCCTGTGAATGCTGAGCAGCGCGTGGGTGTGGTCACATTATGGATAGTAAGCAGAGACGTGAGAAACTGTACCTTTAGTTGGTTTCATACGGATTACATAAACCGAGAATATTTGTTTTTGATATTAATAATTTAATTTAAAAGAAAACAGTTCAAGCTTTCTAAAGAGAAATCAGTCATCTTTGTGTGGTAAGTAGTTACAGTTTATTTTCTGATGTGTTTTAGAATGATTTCACTGAGAGAGAGATGGCAGAACATCCATCCATTATTTAAATCACTTGTCCTACTTCTGACTAAAAGTTTAAAAAACTTTTTTTTTTAATGTTTTTTTCTAAAAGTCTCTTTTGCTAACCGAGGCTGATGACTTTATTTGATCAAAAATACAAGAAAAACAGTCATATTGTAAATATATACAGTATATTACAAATTATATTTGTATTATATTTTAAAATAAACATTTTCTATTGTAATATATTGTAAAATGTTATTTATTTGTGTGATCAAAGCTGAATTTATCACTTTCAAGCCCGAGAAAGCTAGTAAAAACATCATGAAAGTAATCCATGTGACATAAACCCAAGCGAAGCAAGTGCATATTTGCGCAAAACATAATTTACCACTTTATTTACAAAATATGAATCTCCAAAGTGTTCACGAGAGCACCCTGACTCATGCGTGTTGTGTTGACGTGAGAGCAGACGTTGCGTGAACGCACGTTTATATTTTCTAAACATTTTTTTTTTGTGCAAAGCACTCGCATCCCTTCATAAAATTGAGGGTAAAACAACTGGAATTACATGGATTACTTTAATGATGTCTTTACTACCTTTATGGGGATTGAAAGTGGTAGTTGCATAGACTGTCAATGGAGGGACAGAAAGCTCTCAGACTTTATTTAAAAGATCTTAATTTGTGTTCCGAAGATGAACAAAAGACTTTTGTTGAGTACCCTTTATCTGACAAAGTCAGTGACACAGTAATACAAAATTAACCCTATACAAAAGAACTATAAATAAAAGTAAGAAAGAAAGAAAGAGATAAAGTTAATGTTCACAATATGAGAAACTGGATACATAACAGACTCTCTCTCTCTCTCTCTCTCTCTCTCTCTCTCTCTCTCTCTCTCTCTCTCTCTCTCTCTCTCTCTCTCTGTGTGTGTGTGTTGTTTTTTCTAGTGGAAATCACAGAGCAGAGATCATGATTTCAAGATTACCCAAATGTAAGTCCTCAAAGACACAGTTTTAGTATTTGTTGTTTTGTTGTTGTAAATGTTTCTCTTCTAATGTGTGTTCTTGTGTTCAGACGCCGTTGATCTCACACTGGATCCAAACACAGCAAACACTCATCTCGTTCTGTCTGAGGAGAACAGAAAGGTGACGTTTGTGAATAAGCAGCAGTCGTATCCTGATCATCCAGAGAGATTTGATCATCATCAGGTTCTGTGTGGAGAGAGTCTGACTGGACGCTGTTACTGGGAGGCTGAATGGAGTAGAAATATGTATATATCCGTGTCATATAAAGGAATCAGGAGGAAAGGATGGAGTGCTGACTGTCAGTTTGGACTGAATGAGATGTCCTGGAGTCTGAGATGCTCTGATGACAGATTCTCTGTCCTTCACAATAGTAACTCCACTGCTGTTTCTGCTGGTTCAGGATCCTGTAAGAGAGTAGGAGTGTATCTGGACGTGTTGGCCGGCACTTTGTCCTTCTACAGCGTCTCTGACACACACACACTCATACACTTACACACATTACACACTACATTCACTGAACCCCTCTATGCTGGATTTAGACTTTTTTCCAACTCTTCAGTGTTTCTGTCACATTAAACCCACACTTAGACGCATTCACTGAATACCTCTGTGCTGGATTTGGAGCTTTTTCAAACTCTTCAGTGTCTCTGTGACACATTAAACAACACTGTCCCTCACACACACACACAGACACACACACAAAATCATGGGTTAAGACTAGTGCTGGGCAAGTTAACGCGTTATTATCGCGTTAACGCATTTATTAATTAATGCTGACAATTTTTTTATCGCGCGTTAACGCAGAGGTTTTTTTTATTATTATTTTGAAAGTCCGTTGCTCACTGGCTCTGAATACACATAGGCCTACAGTCAAACCATGATCACAGGAGGGGTGGGATGTTGGTCAGCCAGCAAATAACCCACCCAAACAAGCAGTGGAGAGGCTTTGGCAGGTTCTCTCAGGTGAACAGAAAGGGAGACAGCGCTCCGTGAGTGAATGACAGGCGCTCTATGGATAGTAACCATGGCACCGGCTTCTGTGCGCTACGCAGCTGTAGCCTTTTTAACTTAAATTAAAATTATACATAACTTTACCTGATAGGCCTGCGTTTAGTTTAGCGGGGATGCTCTGCCATGTGAATTCCCTCCTGTTGATGTCCTGATAACTATTTAGATTCTGGAAACTCACAAACAGCGAGCCGAGGATCAGATCTCTCTTCCAATGATTTGTGCTGCGCGTCGTGTACAAAAAAGTTAGACAATTCAACTTCGGCAACGCGCGGGCGCGTGCGTGAGGCGAGCATGACTGCAACAGTTTCACAGGAACGCGCCCGCTTGTCGCTGCACCTGTGCTCGACCACTTCACCTCACTCTTTTCGGCTGATTTATAATTCTGTGTCGGACCTACGCCGGAGCCTCTACGCTATAGACAACGCGTTGGTTTTCATTTATATATCTGCGTCGTTGTCCGCGTTGACGCGCAATTACACATGAGGGAGAGTGTGAAACCCGGGGAGCGGTTCTAGCAATCACAGCGCTTGCGGTACGCGTAGAATTGACGTTACATTTTTGGAGAGATGCACGTCAGGGTACGCGCGCTACACAGCTACGGCGTGAGTTCGATGCAGAAGTATAAATTGGGCTTTTACCTCTGTTTAATGTAATCTTACGTGGGAAACCATGGCATGCCATGACCAAACCTAAGCTGCTATCAGAGAAGTAACGTTGGTCGACTTATATCTGTAGTAGTGATCATGACCCTTTGACTACATAGACTGTTTCTGCTGCTCCCTGATACAAGATACCTGTTCAGAAAAAAAAAAAGAAAAGAAAACTGGACTCGTTTTAACAAGCTAGATAAAAGGTAATGCCCTGGCAGTGGCAAATAGCTTTGTTTAAATATTTGATTTGATTACATTAATGTTTAAGTTGAGATTTACAAGAAATATTTTATTGATACTGTGTAAAGGGAATACTGCTGGTATAAAAGCACCTTATTTGTTTAAAGTTTTTGCAAACCACATGTTATTGCACTTTTGTAGCAGTACATTTAAATCAAAAGTGCGCAATACACTACTAGAATTCATTATTCAATTTTGCGCGTAACAATGCGATTAATCGCAAGAAAATCATGCGATTAATCACGATTAAATTTTTTAATCGTTGCCCAGCACTAGTTAAGACAAATGGGGTTGACGCTGATACAACTTGGCGCATGCACACAATGAAAATACTGTAATACATGTAAACACAGTTGCACCAATATACCACACCAAACTTAATATGGTCTAGCCTAAAACACATGCATTATTTTAAAGTGACCAACAAATTGCAACGTTCTGTTTACTTCCTGAATTTGATCAGACCTTCTGAGTCAGACGTTCCAGCTCTCTGCATTCCACCAACTGGCAAGCAATCAAAGATGTCATAACTGATTCCTTCTGCCTGCTCTTATGAAAACCTTGATGGTAGCATGTGATCGATATCCACTTTGTCGATGGCCTACTTGCACATAGTAAGTCAGAGGTCCTGCACACTGCATAATAGTGCCTAGTACTCAGACAGTGCCTGTCTCAAGTCTCCTTTCAACACCCTCTCCCCTAAACTGAATGTCTGGAGTGACTTTGATTTCTTATCCACTTTCTGCTGTTGAATCCGGTGCTTGGATACAACATCCGACACATCAGGCTTAATCAATGAAAGACGAGTGCATGGTTGCCATTTCAGGAACAACTCTGCTGGTGTGCGTTCTGTGACAGTGTGTGGTGTATTCCTGTATTTGAACAGGAAATAAGCTAGCTGCTGATTGGGAGACATTGACTGAGACTGCGGTCAAATCCATGCCGCCTTAAGGGTTTGGACAGCCCTTTCAGCTGCACCATTAGAAGCCAGCATATGATGCAAACAGATTAGGGTTTCAAAAATTGCCGTACCTGCCTTTTATTTTCACAATTAAGCAGAGTTTCAAAACTAAACAGGGATATTAAATAAAACATTACAAATATACCAAAATACAAACAAAAACATTACCTCATGAGGTGAACCCAAATAAAAGAAAACAAAAATACCTCTAACTAAAGGGGAAATTAACATTAAAGGTTCTATGTCGGGTGACGTCACTTCTTGTTTACGTTTAAAGTATTGTCAAACAAAACGGAGGCTATAGCTAGACCCTCCCTCCTCCTCATCCGCGCACTAACCCCCCAAACCCCGCCCCCAAGTCCTTCTTGTCGGTGATTGGCTGGAACGGTTTGTCATGTTTCGTGGAGCGGGTTAGCCCAGTTTGTTTTTGTTGCTGTCTGTGGAGCCTGGGGTGTCTACAGAGATCGCGTTTCTTTACAGTGTGTTCAGGGGACAGGCAGCCAGCGGTTAGTGACGAGATGTTTGCTGTATGTGACAAAAAATGTTTTGGCCTAAAAAACGTGTGACATCGCTTAGAGCACCTTTAACTTACCTATACATAAAAGAAAGAAAAGAAAACAACACACCTTCCCTCACTCCCTGACTATGCATTAAAAAGGAGAAACGATACAGGTATCCTCCACCCTACGTTAACCCAACAACAAAGAGCATGACGAGCACTAACTCGTTTGGGACTAGAGGGCAAAACGACCTCAAACACCGCGCTTGTCTCTCCCCTTCCTCAGCGCTCTCTCTGCAGCTTTATATTGTAATCCTCAGGACACGCACCAATCAGTGCATGGACAGCGCTCAGATCTTGGGCACTTGGGCTTATGGAATAATGGTTTACTGTCTTGATGAACTCGGATTCTAGCCTGGAAATCTTTAATCTTTCCATAACTCAATGCAGGAAAACCTGAATGAGAAGACCCTTTCTGTGGTTTGCCTTCTGTCTTTCCTGTGAAAATTGGGCAACCTTGTGAAAACCACTGGAATGGTCTACACGTTCTGTCAACTCCTTTGTATCCATGTATGCCTGTTCAAGGCCAAGAGCAATTGCACAGGCTTGTTTGAAATTCAAATTCTTCTTTGATAAGAGACACTTGTGGTAAGCTTCACCTGACATACCACAGACAAACTGATCCCTCAGTGCATCATTGAGGAATTGTCCAAACTCGCATGTGCTAGCAAGTCTTTTCAAGTCAACAATATAGTCTGTTAATGTTTTACCTTCTTCCTGATGTCTTCTGTGAAATCTGAAGCGTTGGTTCAAATTCTTCAGTAGCCCGTACTCTGTGGGACACAAGACACTCAGGAACATATCAGCTTTCTTTTCTGCTGCAATTGCTGCCAGTCATCTTTCAAATCGTTCTAAGTTTAAAAATAAAATAAAAATTTAATTCAGAAACTCTGCCAATCATTGCCGTTTTGCGGTCACTTTCATTTCCATTTATCATCTCCATATAAATCTGAATTATGTTTTTTACTCCAGTTTATTTTCTCCCTGTTTTCCTGTACTTGTGATTTCTCCATGAAGTACTAACTATGACCACTAGATGTCAGAGTTTCAGACCGACTACTCTCCTCCATTACTCAAGATCAGCTTTACATTTTTAGTTGCTTCAATAACTGGCAAACTATTTCTGTATTGCAAACTCACTTGCACTTTCCTTCGCTGTGGAATTCAAGTTCTTGACGCCACTGTAGTGTTTTTATGGAAGAAAAGAAAGAGCGACACAGAGTTATAATGTACGCCATGTTTCCTGTTTTTTTTTTTTTTTTACTTCCTCAGCCTGACTCTGATACAACACACAGCGCATATGCGCAATAAAAATACCGTAACACAGTTGCACCAATATACCAAAAATCACAGTTCATGTAACGGAGTCCAGTTAGTGAGAGCTGTGCAGGTAAACCTTACTCCCCTGATCTCAAGAGGTGCACTACCGACTGACGCTAGAGACTTTGGTTTTTAGCGTTCCTTGTTAGTGCGCCCAACTCCCATGCTAGAGACGCCGGTTCGAATCCCTCTCGGAGCTTGACGAGTTGGACTGGAGGGGTTACATATACACTACAAGAGCGGGAAAATTAGGAACCATGTGACTGAGAAAAGAACATGATAACTAATGTGAGGGGAAGAAACCCTTTCACCAACATCTGTAATATCAGACATTTCTCTGTTTCAGAGCAACATGAGGATGTTTCTCCAGATGTTTCTTGTGTCTCGATAAAGAGGGGAATTTGTTGTCTCCTCTCACTACATATACTACTGTGAGGAAAATCCTTGAGTTTCTTTATCTAGCATGTGTTGACAGCTGATTCTTCCAACATCCTGGACACACTTGGAGAAATAAAGACAAACTCATGTGCGTAAATGTGTTTGAACACTTCTTTTTTTAATAGAACTAATGAAAATGATCTTTGGTACGGTTGTCTTCACTGATCGGGCTCTGCTCAGTTTCATCCCCGCCACTGAACACTGATACATTATACATGTGGAATCCAGATGTTTCTCCGGGTGTTTTTCAGAAGATAATCTCATTTTAGTTATATATAATTCACAAAAAGGTTTATAATTTAATGGGGTCATTAGATATTTATGCAAATAGACTTTCAGATGCATAGCTTTTTAGTTAAAACCACCCTGACTTAAATGTATTTGTTTGATTACATTTGTTTTGATTCTTAATTTTTGTTATCTGTCAGCTAGGC